TTTTAGACAGGGTCTAGTGATTTAATTCAGGCTAGCCTCAAACTCGTGGCAGTCCTCCTGCCTCAGTCTCCTTAATTACAGGCATGTGTCTCTTGGATTACAGGGGTGTGCGCCACCATGCCTGGCATTTTGACCTAGTGTAACATCATTGTAAAAATAGTGTACAACCCTCAATAATGAAATTTTCCCTATGGTTGATCTAGAATGCAGCACTTTATGTGAATGAGCCTCTTGGGTTTGGGGTGTATATTATGTCATACATTTCCTTTCCTAAAAGTCTGGGTGGCTGTTTTATCCTAAGTCACATAGCATGTCATTTGGTGCATAGTTGAACAGAAGTGGACTTGTGGAAACTTTAAAGTGTGTGAATTCATACACTGAAATCGTACACTGTTAGTAAATGGTTTCATAGGTCTTCAAAATGAACTTTTAGTTTCACTGTGAACATTTAACTAGAGGCAAATATTTTGCAGGCTTTTTTTTTATTTAACATAGGACAGTTCAGTGTTGAAACCTGAAGGCACCAGAAAGCAAATTTACAGAGTAACTGACTTAAATTACTTTTTGCAAGAATGAATGTGTAATAGACACATTTTGGGCTTTAGTTTATCTGTAAAAGTAGGACAGATACTTGTGTACTGTTGTCTTATAAACACCTTAACAAAAGACCAAGAAGGTCTTGGGGAAAATGCCCATTTGTTTCTTCAGGTCTTATTCCTCCCCTCAAAGCTGTCGATTACGAAGACTTAGCCCACTGCTTAATGTATTCTTAAAAGATATCTTTTTCTAAATCATCTTAAGTATCCATGTCCAATTTTTCTTAAGAGTCATGGTATATTTTGTTATTTTAGTATCCTGTTACTTATACCAAGCCATCCTATGACTAGATGAGAATGGTAACGGTATTATGTGTTTCCCACATGCAGTGTGCTTGACTTATGTTAGAGTAGCTTGATTCTTTGCCTCTTGCATTCTATTTTACTTACAGCTATGACTCTAAGGCCAAGAGTAAAGTTAGTATTTTCCTTAGCTGGTATTTATGGTGCTCATCTGTTACCGGAAGCATCTGTTTAAGTACAGTGGGAAGTACAAAATAGTTCAGTGTCTTTCCTTACCAGACAAGTAGGAGGCTGGCAAGACATAGGTGCCAGACTGAAAAAGCATTACACCTGGCAAATGACACTGAACATGGTCTGTTCTATACTGTGTGCTGCCCTGTGACCTACAGATCATTCTTTTTTTTTTTTAATCTTTTTTTTTTTAATTTATTGTGTGTGTGTGTGTGTGTGAGTGTGTGTGTGTGGCCAGCTCAGCCCACCAGGGGGCAGGGCTGGCTGGCATGTGGTGCTGGGGGATCGAACCGAGGTCCCTGTGCTTTGCCAAGCTTGTTTCAAGTAGGTGCTTTAGACCACTGAGCCATCTCTCCAGCCCTACAGATCATTCTTGATTCCTCTTTCACTCATGTTTTAATCCATCTGTGAATCCTGAAGGTCCTGTTTCAGAACACATGCTTGAATCTTCCACACATTTCTGCCTCTTCTGTTGGAACTGTAGTGCAGCACCTGTTGTCTCACCTGGACTATTGCAGTGGCCTCCTCCTTGGAGCAGCCTTCACTTGCCCACCTAGTCTGCAGCACTCATAGCAAAGCCAGAGTCATCCTTCTTAAAGCATAAAGGAGATTGTTACTTTTTTGTCTAAAGCCAAAGCCCTTCAACATTTCCTTACAATTCAGAGAAATTCAACTTCTTACTCTCTAGCCTTGGGTACTGTGCTTCAGCCATGCTGGTATTCATGTTTTTCAACTTAGCAAGCTTGTTTCTGTCTCAGGTCTCTGTGCCTGCTGCTGTTTCTGCTGCAGCTGCTCTGGTCGTTGATTATCTTATAATGGATTTAGTGTGTCTCAGTTCAGACGTGGCCATGTCATAATAGCCTTTCATGATTAATCTAGGTTCCCCCTACCGCTGTCATACTAGTCATGGATTTTTTTTCTTTGTAGTTCTTGTTGCTCAGTGTTAATTTATTGGTTGCCTCTTTATTATATTTTGCTACCCTCACTAGAATGTAACTTCCTGAGCAGGACTTCTCTTGTGCCTAGAAAAATGTCTTGTACATAGTAGGAGTTCAGTGTAATTGAACGGGTGGAGACATTCATGATACTGTGACACTTGATCCTCAGTCCAGATCTGGCCTAAAGAGACATTTTTATTTGGCTTGTTACATAGTGCTACTGTTCTGAGCTGTAACTTAATGCAGACACCAAGTTGCGTTCCTGTGACTAGGTTGTTAAATGAATTAGTCACTAAGTAAGGAATTGTATATAGCATATGCAGTAGTGTTCAGAACTAAGAAATGGCCAAAGGAAACTCCAACTTGATGACTTTCTTTTTATTTGCATAACCCTCACATGCAGTACTATAATGTATAAAATCCTGAAACTATAGTACTGTACCACACAGTACAAGCAGCAAAAATTATAGTACTATAGAAACAAGGTACACAATACCAAAAAAGACATTGCGACTCTATCCTGAGACAAGATGTATGGAACTTGTATGAAGAGACAAATTGCAAGTCCAGACAGTGGGTCTTAAGTCAGAACAGTGTGCCTTAATCCTAAATCCGAACAGTTACTAAACTGGTAGGTCATAGAGTGAGGAATATGTGTCATTACGATCTCAGGCATCTATAACCCATTACCATTTTATGTCAAAACGCAGATTTCCGGCACCTACCAGCCTTCATAGCTTCCACCTACCTCTCTTGCTTCCCACAGGTGACCTGCATAGAATTTGAAGTTTTTAATTGGCTTCTTGTATTTACAAAAGGGGACCCTTCACATAAAAGTCCAGAATTCCAGTGTCCCTAAAAATGTTAAGATCTGTCACCACAGGCCCTACTTTCTCTTGACTCCAGTTTGCTGTAGCTGAGGAGCAGCTGTCCAGAGAGGTGGCAGGTGGCCACCAGTCTCCCTGCAGCTTAATTCCTGCTTCCTTCCCTACCTTGTATTCAATTCACAATTGCCACTTGCAGTTTTGTTTGAATTATTTTTCTTACAATAAAGAAATATTGATTACTTTCATGATCTCCATAGTAGATGGAAACAGTTGCATGTCTTACACTTAGTCCCCTTCACTTGCATTTCTGATACCTTTTAGGTATTCAGTTCTTTAAATTTTGTTTAACTACTTGTTCCACCCTAATTGTACACAGTTTTGTGTAAAGTCTGTGTAGTGTTGTGCTGTATAAATATACCTTGGATTTACCTAATTTTCTACTGTGGAATGTATTTCCAGTTTTTTTCTGTTGTAAAGAACAGCCTGTGGATGATTCTTCATACACATTATTTTATTAGAATGAAATTTTAGAAGATTTCTTCTATATTGATAGTTTTCATTTTTAAGATTTATGATACAAACTGCCCAGACCTGCTTAGTGATAGAAATTGATGTTATCTGGAGAGCAGTGGGTGGGAGTTTTTCCTTTCCTTCCATCTATGCCAACACTAGGAATTTCCATTTAAATGAAAATCTTTGCTAATATATTTGGGGAAGAAAAAATGCAGGCCCAGAACTTGGTCATTTTCCCATCTACACAAATGAGAGCTGTACTTCATTTCAAAGCAGGCATATCTAACCTGTACCTATGGGCAGCCTGCAGCCCTGGGCAGCTGGCAAGGTGGCCCCACGGGATCACAGGCTTTCCCGATTATATTGTGGTGTGGAAAGAGACTTTCCATGACTCGGCTGTGCAGTGTGTGCTCCCTCTGCCTCCTGTGCTCCCGCACAGTCAGCTGGAGGTCTGCCAGGGTCAGGGGTGCAGAGCACGCCATTGTTTTGTTTTTTAATTTTAGGGAAGGGTCTACAGGGTCTTCCGGGTCTCACTACTAGATCGGACTTGTAGTGATCGGCCTGTTTACAGTCTCCCAAGTGCTGGGATTACAGGCGCGCGCCTCCACACCCAGTCTCAATCGCCATCTCAGTGCGCCCCGGCAGCGGGGCCAACACGGCAGGCCCAGGGATCGAATCCCTGGCTCCTGTGCCTGCTTGCAGGTGCTTTAATCTGTTGAGCTATTTGGCTAACCCTGTTTTGTTTTTAAAAACAATACAAAATTAATAGATAAAACGTTAGAAACAATATGTATTTTTTTAAAAGATAGGTATTTAACAGTGGTTGTTATATTACACATTGCTGTCTCCAGTGTAGTTGCTCAGATTATCAGATATAAGCATGTAAAACTGGTCAAAATAAAAATTTTAAGCATTAATTGCTACCTTCAAAAAACTGATAGAAATTAGTAGTACAATCAACTATACTGTGTATATGCGTATATGATTTTTTTCGGCTCCATTTTATTGAATGAGTAAAACATAGGCAGACAAGTTTCTTATTTGATTGTTGAACTTACATTTGTTGTGTTATTTCAATTTTATAATAAATATAAAACTAAGGGGAGGCCGGGGAGATGGCTCAGTGGAATAAGTGCTTCCCTGGCAAGTGCAAGGGCCTGAGTTCAATCCCTGGTTCCGCAAAACAAACAAACAAACAACAAAAAAAAAAAAAAAAAAAAAAAAATAAGGGGAATATTGTTATCTATACTCATTAGTTATAGTGTATGTTTACATGTGGACAGTTCCACTTCACTCAGCACAGCCCAGGCAAGCCAAAAGGTTGAGCACCGGTGTACCGAAGAATATAATACAGAAATATAACTTAGTGCAGCACTGTACCTTAAATTGGTATTGTGAGTGAGCTTAGGTCCCGCATCATTTTATTGGTGGAGCAATGTGAATATCCTGATAGAACTTGGGAAGCCTTGAAGCTGGATCCTTACATACTTGATACCTACATGTGCATATCATTCTTAAGCTTTACCATATGCCATATCTACACTGGAATAGATACTGCAAAATGTTTCCATTGTGAAACACGCTGAATACTTACACGTTGATTTCTTACTTGCTGGCATTTGGATGCAGTTATTCTGTCATTTGCTTCTTAGGAGATGCCTACATAGAAGAGTGATAGCAGCTGGCCACACGTCTCAGCACTGAACCAGCTCCTCAGGTACCCTGGCTCTGGAAATTGCTATGGGAGATTGGATGACTGTTACAGATCCAGGTCTGTCTGCAGGTAACCGAGTCTCCATCCCGGGGAGCCACAGTGGGACCTGTGAACATATGAAATAGTGCACGTAGTGAAGATATGACTAAAGAAAGACATAAATGGATACAAAATACCCAATTTTCACCCTCAATGAAGTTACTAGAGAAGAGCTAAGAACATGCCATAATTAAGTTGGTTCAGTTGTATGGATGGATTGTTTGTTTGATTTTTATAATTTTTTTTTTAATGTATTTAGTACAGGGTCTCACTACACAGATCGAACTTGTAGTGATTCTCCCAAGCATGGGGATTACAGGCACGCCACCACACCCAGTGTCATTCACCATCTTGGTGCACCCCAGGAGCAGGGCCAGCACAGCAGGATGGAGATCAAACCCCAGTCGCTGAGCCTGCATAAGCGGGCACTTTAATCCGCTCAGCTACCTAGCCGGCCCGATTTGTACAGTTTTTTGAGGAAAATTTTTATCCATCTACTTCAGTATATTTTTCTAATTTATCCCTTTAATGACAGGAACTTTGAATAACATAGACAAGTGTGTTTTCTCTACTATATTCACAAACCTAAAGCAGTGGGTATTAGGTATCTTGGTGTCTAATATACTTACTAAGAAGACCAATTGTATATTTGTGAAAAAAATGTATCTTTCAGCTTTTGTGTGTGTGTGTGTGTGTGTGTGTGTGTGTGGTACTGGGGATCGAACTCAGGACCTTGCACTTGCTGGGCAGTTGCTTATGCCACTGAGCTATATCCCCAGCCTCTAAAAGATGTATCTTTCATTTAAAAATGGCTTTGTCCTAATTTGAAAATATTTATATACATAAGTTTGTTTGCTATATATTACATAAAATCTTTGATTGTAGACATTATTATTGTCACATGCATTTTTATAGATTATATGACTGCTTTTCTTTTTTCAGAAAGCCAAAATATCTCTCTATATACCTCAGAAACAAAGATGTCTCCATCAAGTTTATACTCACAGCAAGTGCTATGCTCTTCAATACCTTTATCAAAAAATGTACACAGTTTTTTCAGTGCCTTCTGCACAGAGGAGAATATTGAACAAAGTATTTCATATCTTGATCAGGTAATTTTTTTTTTTTTTTTTTTTTTTTTTTTTTTTTTTTTAACGAAACCAGGGATTGAACTCAGGACCTTGTGCTTGCCAGGCAAGCACTTAGTCTGCTGAGCTATCTCCCCGACCCAACATGTTTTTTAAAGAAGCAGTGGTGAAAGTCGCGTTCTGTCCCAGCACATCATAGCAGAAAAACATCCGTTGGGCACAAGTATACTACGTGGTGGCCTGAGACTTAGGTTTGCTGGGAACCTTGTGGTTGTATAGTCTAATACAGGGTTGTATGTTCTGCTTGGAGCAGGTCAGCCTTCCCATTATCCTAGGCTTTTCTACCAGAGCAAAAAGCCCAGTTTTTAAAGTGTTTTTGTTCTTTGGGATAGTATTTTCTTAATAACCTTGGACAAGTTGTCTATTTCTTTCAGAAAAGATTCCTAGCCTGTTAAATTTTTAAATGACAAGCTTGTATATATTTGTTAAGCATAGCATGTTTTGTTTTTTCAAATATTTTATTTGCGTATGTTTTGAAGCACATGTGCATTGTGGAAGGCTCAATGGAGCTAGATAATAGATGTAGGCATACTTCACACATGAAATCTATTCTCAGCAGTTTTTAAGAATACCGTACATTGTTTGTGATAATCACCATGCTGTACAATAGCTCTCTTGAACTGTTTATCCTGTCAAATGAAATTTTGTATCCTTTGACCAACATCTTCCCAAGGACAACCAACTTTTAAAAATATTTTCTCCTAGGAATTGACTACTTTTGGGTTTCCTTCATTGTACGAAGAACCAAAAAGTAAAGAAGCAAAGAAAGAATTAAATATAGTTGCTGTTTTAAATTGTATGAATGAGCTACTTGTACTTCAGCGGAAGAATCTTCTAGCTCAGGAAAATGTGGAAACACAAAATCTGAAACTGGGAAGTGACATGGACCATCTGCAGAGCTGCTATGCAAAACTTAAGGTAGACATTTCACTCCGTTATGTCACTCAGCGCTACAAGTATTCATTGATTTTATCAAATAAAAGCTTTAGTTTTTTGCAAACTGCTAAGTAAAAGTGAACATAAAAGTAATTTATACACATTGATTGTATTACTTTCTAATACTTAAATTGAAGCCATTGATTTTATGAACTGCTTAGAAATTTTCTGATTCTGTCGAAAGCTGATTAAGAAATAGGTATATTCAGAGGAAGACACAGTAAGGGTTCCTCTGCCCCATCCTGTGTGGTTTAAGAATATTTTTCTTACAATTAAATGATGCAGCCTCTTCTAAGACTTAACCCAAATTTCAGTAGTGAAAACAGGCTAGATAAGACCTGTTATAAGTCGCTAGGATTCTAGTGAAGCCTGTGGAAAAGTGCATTGTTAAACTAACCTTTATCTGAAAAAAGATACTACTTCCACAGGATCATTGACCTGCTATATTCAGATGTAGAACATATGTTGCTCGTTTCTTTTTCTTCCTTTTTTCTTTAAACTTTCTTTTATATTTTCCTTTTTTAAAACTTATTTCAGAAGGAGAGGAGCAAGGTGTTTGAAGTATGGTAAGAACTTATATTGTGGTTGTATATTATTTAAAATGTAATATAATCCAAGCCTAATATTTTTCTTAAATATACTAGTATCTATTGGGTCTCCTTATTTGTGAGAATCAAAGCCTTTGTTATTTGCAAACTCAGGTCAGCTTCCTTCGAATCTTCATCTGCTGGTCCGTGCCCCTCTCCTCTGTCTTGCTCTACATCCTCTCCCCTCCTACCTCAGGAAGAGAGAACAATAAGAAGATAAACTCGGGATGTTAAATCTCTGATCTCTGTGAGAGAATAACAGGGTCTCTGCACGTAGTATTGGAAGTCCAGTAGAGAGTGTGCCTTACAGTAGAAGCAGCGTAGTCACTCAGCAAACACTGTCACCCTTCGGGGATGATGGAGCGAAGCCCCTCAGCTGCTCAGTGACACATGCCTCTTCCAGACTGTCACTGCCTGATGCCACTTGTTTTCTTAGTTCATATGCAATGATAACAGTATGTCTCCTCTTTAATAATGTTTTAAGTTTTTGTGCATCCAGTATGCATCAGGGATAGAAGTTATCTGGTTGTATGTCCTGGCTGACTGGGGAACTATGGGAGCTGAAGGGGAGATTCAGTTCCTTCTAGGCCTGTGCAAAGGCTGTGGTCCTGGATCCTGCATTCACCCAAACCACAGACACCAGTGGAGGGGCCTTATATGGATTAGGCCGATCCAGTTGGGAGCCTAGAAGATAGTATTTCTACTCTTGTGGCCCTTTCGCCAGATCTTAACAAGGGGCTAGTGAGTGAACATACCATGATGTTGGTAAGCTGGAGCCACTACAGCTTTTCTTTAAGGGGTGGTCTTTTATTAGGACTGCCCAAAATGCCTAATTAGGGATTTAACCTGGGCCAAAATCTCTCATTTTGGCTCATCTTTGGTTAGGAATGTGTATCCAATGTGGAAAGTCACCATTCTAGTCTTGAAAGTTTCTAGGTCTAGCATACGATTCAGTCTACTTGTAGAGCAAGATTTTATTGAGTTTGTTGTAGGAACTGCATTTCAAAGATGAGTGAAACCTTAGTCCCTGCCCATGAGGAGATTGCAGTCTAGTATTTGCTGCATTAATTGTTCTGGGTGGAGGAGATGAGAGAAAGTCTCACAGAGAGGTAATTCATTATCTGGGAAAAGACATTCCATGCAAGCAGTTAACCTGTATAAAAGCAGGAGTGAGAGATGTTGCACTCCAAGAGTATGTAAAGTATGAGGAGCGGTAAGAAACGGGGAGGGAGACGTGCTCCCTATGGTGTGAAAGGGAACCTGGTACAGAAACCGGGATGCACGGGGGTGTGAACGGGAATACAGGAGGTAAATAGGGCTCTGGCAGCAAGGTGAAGAAACACTCAGGTGCTGCACTTGGGGTGGCGCGGTGGGGTCTCGCTTGGTGGTGCAGACAGCCCTGAGCCGACCTTTGCAGGGGTTTGGGACTTTAAGTGAAGTAGTGCCCCAGGCAGTGTCCCCACCTTTCTGCAGACTTGGCTCCGAGTTATATTTGACTCTTTCTGAGTCCAGTGTGCTATCAAGGGGGCGGGGTCCCAGCATTGCAGCAGCTGAGGAGACCTTCCCGGGTCTGTTGTGCAAGTGTTCAAACCTCTTGAAACCATAATGTGAAGTTCAGTCAGACACACAAGATCAAATATTGCCTGGGTTCTCGTACTGAGAAGCCCAAGTTATACACAGAGAGCAAAGCAGAACCTAATAGGAGGAGGGAGCTGGGTCTTCCTTAGATGGAATGGGAGGGAAGGGCTGGGAGGGGAGGAGGATGATGGAAGTAAGGTGTGTTCACCCGGGCTTAAGCTCCGGCTGAGCGCCTTCCTGGCCAGCATAAGGTCGCGAGTTTGATTCCTGGCACCAGGGGTTTGGGACTTGAAGTAAAGTAGTGCCCCGGGCAGTGTCCCCACCTTTCTGCAGACTTGACTCCAAGTCATATTTGACTCTTTCTGAGTCCAGCGCACTCTCAAGGGGGCGGGGTCACAGCATTGCAGCAGCTGAGGAGACCTTCCCGGGTTATGTGCATGTACCAGCTCCACACAAGGAACATAAACGTGTACGGCAAAGGTGTGCTAATATGAAGGACTAAAAATGTCTTTAAGAGAAATTTTAGGTATGTGGCAGTGTTATGGAATGAGGGCCTTTCAAAGGAATCATTTTGAAGCTCTTAAATACAAAATTTGTATTTAAATGCTATAAAACCTGATATATAGATTTAATTTTATAATATTAAGCTCTGTGGTAACCGCTTATACTTTTTGCATGCCATTAACTTTGATTTTAGCTAACAAACTAGTATATACAGCTTCTTACTGATCTTTTCAGAATTAGTCGTTATGAATTCTGTGTTAATTTTAATCAGAATGGCATATGGATATTTTAGGAACAACTGGAAGCATCCAGGAGGGAAATTATCGGGCTTCAGGAGAGAGACAGACAGCTACAGTGCAAGAACAGGAATTTGCACCAGCTACTGAAAAATGAGAAGGATGAGGTGGGTGGTTTTACTGCACATGAAGTTTAAGTGAATTTTGTATGGGTTTTTTTTTTTTTTTTTTTTTTTTTTTTTTTTTGAGTGGGGGTTGTTGGTAATACACACTAAGAATCACTTTACTTTGAAACAGCCATTGTTTATCACACATCAGATTGGTTTGGTGAACATCTGTATATGATACTGTTATATTTAACTGACAGAGAAGAAGCCCTCTCTTTCCTTCCTTCCCTACCCCCAGGGGATCCATTTGGCTTAGTAAAGTAGTTCATAGCAACAGCCAGCGGCCTGGACTGCCCCAGCCGTCCTTACTGAGTACGCAGTCACTCACTTTTTCTTGGGCATAGAGGTGTTCTCAATGCAGATCTTCGAGTCTCTGCTGTTCCTGTATTGGTACCGAGCATGCCTGTCAATGTTTGTTTTCGTTTTGTGGTTGTAGGAGTTGAACCCAAACTGTGCCACGCCAAGCCCACATGCTGCCGCTGCGCCACTCCCAGCCCTGTCTGCCCCCTCTTCCACTAAGCAGTCATGTTCTTCCTCCACGCAGGCATACACTTGACAAAAGGAGCACAGGAGCAGCTCGCTGTACTAATCTTATTTCCAGGGCAAAGGTGCTAACTTGCTTTATAAAGTTATAACTCCAGTTATTTCACATAACATTTTTATTTGATCTGATTATATTTCAATGTAGTTCAATATAGTTGGTTGGAATATAGTTCTCTTGGAGAAGGAGTAAGTCAGCCATGATTGGGAATGGCTGTGTATGGTAAGACATACTTACTATCAAGCACTGCCTGTGAAGCCATAGCGGATACAAACTTTGAACAGCAGTGCATGACACAGGTACACACTCAGTAGATGTTGATCAGAGAAATGACCCTCAGTGGTTTCCTGCTGCCATGTGCCACTGGCTAATACACCTTGCAGTTAGTTCCTAACACACTAAAGAAAGTGATTGCAAGGTGACAGTATAAGAAAGTCACTAAAAATGATCAGTGAATCTTATTTATTTCAGATAAAGCTTTTCTCATTTTACTGTTTCTAAAGGCAAAAGTGTAGAATATGAATTTAGAATTAAAATGAGAAATTTTAGAATCATGTAATAAAGACTATGATTAACATAATGATCTTTTAAGAAGTTTCCATTGAAGGAAGAATTTTTTTAAGTATTATATGGGAAGATGAGTTTGTGAATTTTAACTGGACTTAACCTATTTGATAGAAAATACTGTTTTCCAGGTACAAAAATTACAAAATATCATTGCAAGTCGAGCTACTCAGTACAATCATGATATGAAAAGAAAAGAACGTGAATATAATAAACTAAAAGAACGTCTACATCAACTTGTTATGAACAAAAAGGATAAAAAAATAGGTAAGCAGCTGGCAGAGCTCCAGCAAGAGAATAAATAATATGCTGAGAATTAAGTGTAAATATATTGTGCCCAGTCGTGTTATTTTCATGCTTTCCACAGTTGATTTTAGATGGTGTATATAAACTTTCTAAATTTCCATAAAGTGGAAATTTAGAAAGTTAGTAAAAACTGAATCTCTTAGGTTTGCCTCATAAATTGCATATATTTAATATACAGATAAAGAATTGATCCATAGAGGAAAAGTTAAGTCAGAGGACAGACACTCTGATTGTCCATAGCAAATATTAAGAATTAGAGTGTGTTTGGGAATATCAAAAGAAGTAGGATTTTGGAGTTAAAGTCAGAAAATTTTTCATCTGACCAACTCATTCATGTGCATTTGAGTTCATTCTGATGAGGTTAGCTGTGTATTTTTGAAGCTGCTAGTCAGAGATGTACGGTGAAAGTATGTTAGTGTCTAATGGATACTTTTCTGTAGTAGTGTTCTTTTGAAAACTTTTAATTTACAACTATTTGTGCAAACGTGTGCATAATTTCAGGTGAATAGTGTAGATTTTGAAAAGTAAAGCGACACCTATAAGTAGAGGTAGCAGAACAGTCGTTCCGGCTTGGTGCCGGGAGTGAGAAGACCAGGGAGTGAGAAGTGTGTGCATTTTATTGATCGACGCATGCCCTCTGGGTCAGTGATAGTCCTCCTCTGGCCTACATTGTGCAGCCACACTCCTGGCTTTGCTGACCTGAACCTGGGCTTCAGCACCGGCAGGTGAGCCATGTGTCCGGCTCTTCTGTGGTCAGCTCTGCCTGCTCTGAGCCAGAGGTTCGTGTCACCTGTGTTACTGGTGTTTTGTGCTATTGTAGTTATGCTATTTTATTTTTAAAATTTCTGAAAACTAGAAAGTGAAGGTGTAATCATATAGTAAGCTTGGAAATGCTTAGGTATTCTGAGTTTAGAAGTCTGCTCATGTGGATAGTCATTGGTTATAAAGTCGGTTATCCTTGTGTTTGTCCATAAAAGAAGGAACAAAATTAAGAGAGGAGAATGAAATGCTGAAAGCACAAAATAGAACATCTAGTTAGAGTCATTTACTGAACATTGAATTCTAGAAACTGAGTGCTTATACTTAGGGGTCAAGGTATTTTCTGTTCCACACCCAACTGGAAGTAGCACATTTGTATGGTGATTTTATTAGCACTACAGTTGAAATCACTTATTCTCTTCCTGGTTCCTTCTTATACCAAGTGCATCCATCTCTACCTAGGGCACAGAGATTCTACTGTTGTCAGGGGCTTGACTTCTTTGAGGATGACAAGGGTAATGGTGGTATTGATAGAGCACAGCAAACCTTTTCAGCAAAGGTCCAGATAGTGAACATGTGTGACTTTGTGGGGTCTGCAAGTGTTTTTCATACTTCCTGCCTCTGCCACTGTGGAGAAGCATCTACGGACAGTATATAAACAAATAGGGGTGGCTGTTTTTCTGTGAAGCTTTATTTACAGAGTTAGGTAGGCTGTGGTTTGCTAACTCTTGATAATTAAAATGATAAAGTAAAATTTAATAAATATTCACTGTGCTTAAAAAAATATTTACTGTGCTTACCCTCCATATTAAGGGCCTTAACTGCATTTCTTTCAATCATCACAACTATTTGGGTAGATACTTGTGTTAGTCTCACAATATCAGGGAAAAATAAGCTTAAATAAGTTCACCAAGATCTCTCAGTGCTTCTTAGTAACTTGAAATTACTCATTTTCATCCCACATCTCATCCTGTCTACCAGATATACTCACCTCCCTAGTCTGTGTAGACTTTTAAATACGTGTGGTAAGAATTCATTTTATGTGTTCACACTGCAGCCATGGACGTGCTGAACTACGTGGGCAGAGCTGATGGGAAGCGGGGCTCTTGGAGGACTGGTAAAACCGAAGCCAGGTAGCGTCTGCTGCGAGGGGTGGTCAGCCTCCGTCCTGCCAGTGCTGCTCCGTGATGATGGTTTCTTTCTCAGGAACGAGGATGAAATGTATAAAATTCTCTTGAATGATTATGAATACCGGCAGAAACAAATCTTAATGGAAAATGCCGAACTTAAGAAGGTTCTCCAGCAAATGAAAAAGGAGATGATCTCTCTTCTTTCTCCCCAAAAGAAGACACCTAGAGAAAGAGCAGATGAGAGTACAGGAGCTGTAAGTAGCCTTTTCTCTCTGTGACAGTGTTCGGACCACTGGCTAGAGCAGTCAGCGGATCGGTGGGTGGGTGTGGTGGGCCTGTGTGGTGGGCACGCTTTTTGTATTGAGACAGGACCCTCGATGCTATGCTGTCTTCACTCACTGAACGACAAGAAGTGTCCCTGTGTGTCCAGCAGTACCGCAGAAACGGTGGAGATAAGCTTCTGAGGACTTGGTCCATGCCAAGTGAGCACTGTGATAAACACTTTATCAGCGTCGTCTCATTTTATATTACTTCTTACAGATATGACTTCAAATATTGTAATCTGGTTATCCCCACATAGTGTAATGATTCCCATTTTGTAGACAAGGAAGCAGGTACAGTGCTTCACCCGGCCAGTGTGACACGTGGCAGAAGTAGTCTGCCTAATTCTTCGTGCAGACTCGGGTCTGCCCATTGAGCTCACACTCAGCCATGATACCAAATCAGCTTTCCCTTGTTTAAGTATCATGTATTCTAAATTTTAGAGAGTAAAATTTTTGTTAACTGTAGGAAATAAGAATCATTCAGTCCACTCACCTATTGAGTATTCATTCTGTTCTTATTCCTGAAAATAAAAAGCTAAAGGCGTTGCCTTCTTCCCTCAAGAAGCTCTTTCTAAATCGCTGGGTGTGGTGGTGCATGCCTGTAATCCCAGCACTTGGTAGACAGGCAGGAGAATTGCCATAAGTTCAAGGCCAGGCTGAACTACATAGTGAGACTGTGTCTGAAAAAAGAAGCAAAGCTTTTTCTGGGAGAGACTGACATTAAGAGATGATTGCACAGGTTAGTACTGTGACAGGGTGGTACAAGGGCAAAAAGAGAAGTTATGGTGGCAGTCATCATCAGAGAAGACATCATAGAGAAGACAACAGTTGAGCTGGTCCTTAACAAAATCAGTGGGTGCGCCTGAGCTAAATGATACAAGGAGAGCATTGGGTGCAGGGGGAATAACTTGAGAAGCTGGAAAATGACATCACGGTGGAAAGTTCTTTTTACCTAATTAACTTTCATGTAAATATGAGTTCTGGGCTCCAAGGTGTTCACATTAGTGATTAAAGTAGAAAAGTAGTAAGTGGGCTGGGGAGATAGTTCAGTGGTCTAAGTGCCTGCCTGGCAAGTGCAAGGCCCCGGGTTCGATCCTGGGTCCTGTGATGTCAGCCTCAGAGTCGCGGGCATCGCAGCACATCCCTATAATCCCAGCGCTGGGGAGGCTGAGACGTCTGAACTGCATAGCAAGACCCCGTGTCAAATAAAAAAGTAATAAGCATGACAGAAAATGCTCATCAGCAGTGAGTCACCAAAATTTGTTTTTTTAAACCTGTATTTGAGGATTATTTCTTTTGTGGGATTACAGATAAGACTAGCTCATAAGCCTGTCTCACCTCCTATACCTTTTTTACTTCTTTAAAAATTGATTTTACTCCACATGGTGACACAGACCTATCTATAGTCTTAGAATGCTGCAAGAGGATGGCCAGTTTAAGCATAACGAGGCAACTTGTTGGCTTAGTGAAACTGTCTTAAAAAATAAAAAGAGAACTGAAGATGTACATTAGTGCAAAGGCCCTGTATTCAGTCTCCAGTGCTGCAGGAAACAAGTCTTAAACTAATATGTGAATAAGTAGTCCCCTTCACCCACTGGGGTTACAGACATTCTGTGACCCCCATGGCTGCCTGAACTTAAAAGTAGTACTGAACACTGGGTATACTGTGCTGTCCAGATCTTGTCTTTCCGTACATATATACCTATGAGAAAATTTAATTTGTATATTAGTCACAGTAAGAGATTAATGGCGGTAACTAAAACAGTAACAACAGTATCGTACAGTAAAAGTTGTGTTGTTTCTCTCTTCAAGGTATCTTACTGTTTTGTACTTTGTTTCTGGATCTTGGTTGACCAAGATAACTAAAACCAAGGATGCTACTTTTACTCCCTCCAACTTGAGGCTTGTTTGACCTTTTATATTTAGTTAACATTTGCTCTTAGTCTGTCGCTTCCAGTCAGTTTTTAACTTTCACTAATATCTCTTTAAGATGAGCATGGTTTCCATTACTTGGGAGACTTGCTTAGTTTTTGGCCCATCCTTTCCTAACCTTTCATTGCCATCTCCAGTCAGCTAAAGTGTGTAGGAGCTCAAGATCTCTCTCAAGTGATCAGTTAGTGCCTCTGCTGTTCAGCCTGTGAATCATAGTAGCCTGTATAATTCTTCATAATTCAAATACTTAACTTTGGAGAAAACTTTTTTTTGAGATTTATTTATTTGATACAAGATCTCGCTACACAGCTCAGACTCAGTGATCTTTCTGTCTCAGCCTCCCCCACACGGGGATTACATGGGTGAGCTGTCATGTGTGTGGTATGTGGTACCAGGTATCAAACCCAGGTCCTTGCTCTTGCCAGGCAGGTGCTTAAACCACCAAGCTATCTCCCCCCAAGAGAAATCATTTTTTTAAAGTATTTTCTACTTTTATTTATTTACTTGTTTTAAAGAGAATACAAAATAGTAATAAAAAAACTAGAAATGATACAGAATTTCACTAAACAGTATATTATGAATCCAGCAGTATTTATTGTACTGTATAATGTTGTCTTCAACTTAATTGTTCAGATTACCAGATACATGCATGCAACATTGGAAAAAGAAAAAAAGAGAAAAAAAGTTAAAAGAAATTAAGAAGAAAAAAAAAAAGAAATTAAGAAGAAACAAAGGGAGAAAAAATGAGAAAAGAAGACAAAAAAAAATTAAACATTAACTGCTCCTTTCCATAGATCAGCAGAAACCTACAGTACAGTTATCCAGGCCATCCCGGATACATACATTAATGCATCTTTCTCCCACTCCCTCTCCTGTCCTTCTCCTTATCTTAGTAATTCCTTCCTTTTAAACAAATTCGTTCTCTTTTCACAGTGTCTGTTATACCCTTCAGACTTTATTTACTCTTTCAGGTTCTTAGACTAGGGACACAATACAGTGTTGGCATGTGTAGGTCTGATTTAGTTCACTTGAGTATGGTTTCTAGTTGCATCCATTTACCAATAAAAGCCTCAAATTTATCCTTGTTATAGCTGAAGAACATTCCATTGTGTAAAAATACCACATTTTCTTTATTTATTCCTCAGTTGATGGGCATTTGGGTTACAAGATTTCACGATGACAAATTGCCCTGCTATCTACATAGTTGCACATATATCGCTGGTATGTTTTTAGTGTTTCTGGGAACAGCTGTGTTGAATAGGACCTCCAATCCTACCTTTTTGAGGAATCTCTACACTGCTTTGCAGAGTGGTTGTACCAGTTTACAGTAGACAAGGACTACTTTTTCCCCACAGTCATTCTTTTGGGGTGAGATGCAATCTCATTGTTTTTTAGATTGCATTTCTGAAATGATGAGAAGTGTATATTCATCTGAGATGCTCGTTTTTGGATTACGTCTTTGAATTTTGGGGGCCTGACTTTTTAAAATTCTATATGTTCTAGGTAGAAGGCTTTGGTAGAGGGACAGTTTGCTATAATTTTTTCCTAATTTGTGGATTTTCTTTTTACTCTGTTGGTGATTTCTTTTGATATGCAGAAATTTTTCAAACAGATTAGATCCCAGTTGTTGATTCTTTGAAGTATTTGCCATGCAGTTTGGTTTTTGTTCATGAACTCTCTACCTACCCCTATGTCTTTAAGATTTATAGCTGATTTTTCCTCCAGGAGATTAAGGGTTTCTGTTTTAATGTCTAAATCTTTGATCCATTTTGACTATAGTTTAGTGCATGTGATAGACATGGGTCTAATTTTAGCCTTTGGCATGTAGAAAGCCAGTTTTTCCAGCACCACTTATTAAAGAGGCTATCTATGTGTCTTCCAGTCCATTTGTTTGGCCCTTTTGTCAAAAATAAGGTGGCTGAATATGTAGTTGTATCTGCATCTTCTAATCTGTTTCATTGATCCTTGGGTCTTTTTTTTTTTTTTTTTTTTTTGCCAGTACCATGCTGATTTTATCACAATAGCTTTGTAGTGTAATTTCAAGTCTGGTATTATAATGCCTCCTTCCTTGCCTTATATTTGTTGGCCAGGATTGCCTTTGGTATTCTAGATCTTTCCTGATTACAAATAAATTTTAGGAATGTCTTTTCTAGGTCTGTGAGGTGTACTAATGGTATTTTAATTAAGATTGCATTGAATCTGTATAACAATTTTGGGAGTATGGCCATTTGCACAATGTTGGTTCTTTCAATCCAGAAGTAAGGAATATCTTTCTATTTCCTGAAATCCTCTTTGGCCTCTTTTGTCAGAGCACTGTAATTTTCACTGTATAAATCTTATTTCCTTTGTGAGATTGATTCCTGAGTATTTCAATTTTTTGGATGTTATTATGAAAGACGTGCTTTGCCAAATTTCTCTCTTGGTGCATTTGTTATGTACAAAAGTACTATTGGTTTTTTTGTTTGTTTGTTTGTTTTTACCAATTTGTTTGTTTTTACACTCAGGACTTTATGCTTGCCAAGCAATCACTTGTCACTGAGCTATATCTCTGTCTTGCTACTGATTTTTGACTGTTGACTTTGTGTGCTGCTATGCTATTGAATTTGGTTATTAAATCTACAAATCTCTTGGTGGAGTTTTGGGGGTCCTCTATGTAGAGTATCATGTCATCTGCAAATAATGATAATTTCACCTTTTCCTTTCTAATCACTATTCCTTTTATTTTTCTTTCTTGCCTAATTACTCTGACTAATGTTTTCAGTATTACATTGAACAGGAGAGGTGACAGTGGACATCCTTGTCTTGTTCCTGATTTTAAAGTGAAGGACTTCAGTTTTTGCCCATGTAATATGATGTTGGCTGTAGCTTTCTCATAGATGGCTTTTATCAGGTTGAGATATAGACCATCTATTCAATTTTCTGTAGGATTTTCATCACTAGTGAGTGTTGGACTTTGTCAAAAACTTCTGCACCTATTGAGATCATTTGTTTTTTGTCTT